TAAAAAAATAGTTCCAAAATTGCAAAATAGTTGTGAGTTTGCAGACAACTCAGCATTGTCGCATAAGAAAATAGTATTCTTTGCAATGTAGTTATTAGTGCGCTTATCGTAAGGATTACTCAAACTAGAAAGCATTTCGATTTGGTTTAAAGGCAGCGATCGCAATGGCTGGAGAGTGGTGCGGTTTTGATGACGTCATTGAATGTCGTTGGTGGAACGGCGTTAAGAGGCAGTCAACCACGACCCGCAGCACGCTGAGCTAGTCCTCCGCACCGCCCCTCTGCCATCATGATCACTACCCATAATTTTCGTAAGCACTCCTGAAAAGAAGTTGCGCATACGCGAAGGAACGGTTGATTTGAGTGCGGGACACATACGTCTCGCAACGTCCCGCATAGCCTGCAAGGCGCGGGACGTATGCGTATTGCGCTGTGGTCAACGTGTTCATGTTTCCTTCGTGTTTGAATGCATTGTGGCGCTTCTGCGATAGGAAACTTTAGAGCTTCTGATTTCAGAGCTATTTTAGTGGCTAAGTTTTTTTGGCACTTTTTACCCCTGAGATTGTGCCAAAGTTGCAGTGCTCTGTAAATCTTATGCGCCGCCCTGAACTAGGAGGAAAGCTGTTCCTCCTAGTTCAGGGTTCAGTTCCTCAATGTAATTATGCTAGATGGCGACCATCCTAACATCCTAATGTGGGCGCACAGAAGCCGTGAATTGGCCTCCGTCTAAGATTCCTTATCCGGGTGTGATTCAATACTGATGGAGAACCAGACGCCGATTGAAGTAGCGTGACCATCATTCTTAGTTTCTGCTCCATTTCTTTGGAATGAACCTATACAGAGCTCTTACTCCTGAGTATGCCCATAGCGAGAGTTGCACTGCAGCTTTGCTTCCCTGCGTGAAACAGTCTTGTTTTTTTACTAACGACTGCAGTACGGCTCTTGCTGGCGGGACCGGCAAAATCGCGCCGGTCCCACGCGACCAAAAAGACCAAAAGCCGCGATGTCGTCAATGTGTTAAAAACCATTCACTCAATCGGATTACTCGCCATAAAAAGTAACCTTCAAAGGGCTTCCATTATATGGAGCGAGTTTGATTTCAAGTTCCAATAAATCTTGTAAGATGTGATTCGTATGCGAACCACGCCGGCCGAATTGAAAAATATTGCGCTGTTGTCATTGTGGTGAGCTCTACCTGAAAATAATGGATTAGAACATTTATAAATTCGATTATTTAGTAACATTCTATAGTGCAATAATGGCTATTTTCGCTGACCCTCCAATGGATTCAAGTGAAAAAGAGGTAATTTATACTGAATTCTATTTGCCTCTCCAATGCTGAGGTTCCAGTGAATTTCGCATAGTTCAGGAATATCCACGGCTTAAACACGCGGCTCAAAGTTTCGTAAAATGGTACACTCGGCTCGTAGCCGATTTGAGGTTCTCGCTTACGGTTGTACTAGTTTGGATCGTATTTGTGGCTGGAGCTATAGTGGTGAGTACAATTGAAACAGGGATTAAAAGACCTTTCCCTGCTCGCCAATTGTTCGTGAGTGCCTGTCAGAACACGCGCGTCGCAGCTTCGCGCAGGCGCTTTTCTTTCTGGTTGATCTACCGTACCATTTTAGTGCCATATCAATCAAAGCTACAATCCCAGATCAAATTGTGGGGTCACAGCAGTTGATAAAGTATGGATGTCGACTGAAAATGAAAAAAAAGAAAGCGAAAATGAAAAAGAACCAAAGCGGCTCGCCGATGGAGCTATTAACGAGTAAATCCTCTTCTTCTCCTTCAAAATAAGGAAGGGGCGGAGCTGGACGAGTTTCCTGGACCCTATTGCCCCACGGCTCCACTAACCCACGCGACCTGGCGGCTCGTCCGCCAGACTCCTGCCCGTCTTCCAACGCAACGCCTCCTAGGGGCCACTTTTCCGTTGTCGACCATGCTTTCACCCCACGCGTATTTGTGATAGCCGTTACCAGCTGGAACCTCGAATTGATGAATTAGGTTGCGCTGGTCTCGGCAGCCAATCATGTGATGAATATAAAGCTATTTCCATCCGCGGACGGCTAAGCAACTGGATGTTCTCAACCGCGCGATGACGGCCCACGAATTGGCCACTATCCCACATTCCCTTCCACCCCGCCCCGCCCCCCGCCCTATCTCCTCCAACCGCTCCAATTTTGTCCCCACCCGACATTCCCCACCACCTCCACTCCCCCCCTGACCTGGAGATTACCCACGCTCTACCTTTACCCCGCCATTAGTACCCGAACGCACTAGTTCCATTTGCGGGGTTGTTGCGCTCTTTGCCTCCGCCAATTGCAGCCTCCGCCACCACGTCCCACACCTACCTCTCGGCTTATTCGGTTGATGACAGCGAAAACAATCCATCGTAGGCGGAAACAACGTGGATAAAATAGGACAACGAACGGAAAAAGTGCTCAGCATTTAATGCCTATACCCAGCACTACAACGTAGGCGGATGTAAGGCAGACCGGACAAGGTGCCTCGCACTCCAACGTCGCTAGTCGCGATGTCGCCGCTCCCAACCGCGCCGCCTCAGCGTGGATCTCCTGACCTATCTGTTTTATGTAATCCTTTAAGGGCTCGTCTTATTCGACTGTGGATCTCACATCTCACAAAGTATTCCTACCGGATTCGAAGCTGCTAGAGGTGAGAAAAGGTAATTTTGTCCCCCTCACTTATCCGGCACGAATAAATCATCGCTCTTCCACTTGTGTAAAGTCGAAACTGCGGCGATACTATATAAATTCGTGATCCGCATACACTCCCCGCGACAAATTCTGGTCCCAGCCCCCCCCACATCCTGAAAACTTTGTCCGCATCAGAAGCAATGTACGTGGCCTGCTCGGCCATCCGAAGGACGCTTCCCGAGAGTTTTACGCGCATCTCTTCGCACCCGCACAAGTACTCTTTAGTCAAGCCCAGTAATGGCTTATTCGGCCATCTCCTCAAACGCACGCATTTCACCGATACGAGCGACTAGTCGAAGAAGCGCAGCTTTTACCCAGGCTGGAGAGACATTCCGGGCCCTCCTAGGGATGCGCACCCGACCCCACAATCGCATCGAAGGATATGCTCCCGGCGATCTAGCATGGCCTTCCCCGCGGCGCAGTTGGCGCGCTGGCGGTACGCCCCCTCTCGCGTCGTCTCGTGTCTGAGTCTCTAGCCGTTTAGCAGAGAGAGCGTTAGCGTTGAAGAGGGCAGCACCGATGAGAGTCGCATCAATGCGCAAATCAACGGGCAAGGAAGATCCCATTTCTTGGATTCTAGGCCATTTTTCTTGTTTTTTCTCCTTTCGTGCATGGTCTCCGGTCTCCGGACATCTGTCAACCGTGAGGCTAGGCAATTCAGCGTTTTGTTGTGCTGTCTGGGAGCTCTCACACAAGCGCACTATTACAGAATCTCCGCTTTCTTTACCTCCTTCAAAGGCTTAGTCCCACTACCACAAAGAACGTCTGCTTTTCCAGCTACGCTCTCACCCTTTGGTTGACAGAAGCCTTGTAACCTTCGTGCATGACTGACCATCTCTAACATAGCTTCCAATGAGCTCCCTTTTCATTGTAAACCCACCTGTAAGGGCAGGGAGGTCAACTTCCAACGATTGTCGGACAGAACCACGATTCTAGAGAAGTCTCAGAAAAAAAGAAACAGTGAAATGTTCTGGATTCCGACAGGTCGTTCTGTTTCCGTAGCGTTCACAATAGCTGTTCAGCGAATTCGTCAATTACAAAGATGCACTTCGAGACGAGCTGGGAGAGGATCCAAGTGCCGGAACACTGGCCGCATTCCTTCACTGGCCTGAATATTCCTACTATAATGGCTTCATTAAACGAAGGAACGCTTCGTAAGTATTCTCCTCTCTACAAATTCAGATCTGTGAAAATTTATGAATTTCAGAGATCCAGAAAAGGTTGAGCAGTTCATGTTTGTCACTGGCTATCGCGGAGCTCAGCTGATATCGTGGCAAGAAAAGAGACGTTTATTGTATTCACTGCGACGCGAGGTCGATCGATACGCAAAGTACGTTCCTCTGTTAGCAATGTTGGGATTCGTTAAAGAGAAAAATACGGTCATTCTTTGATTATTAGCGGCCTGGCTAGAACAGCTCACAATAGTGGTGGTCAAAAATCCAGATTGCAAGCTCCAGCTTGCGACTCGCTGCGGATGGCGCCGATCAGCAGAGGAATTTAGCATCGAAAAACAAACCCACACTCATGCTGACTGCTTTCAAAGTACGCTAAATAAGGGGCTCAAGAAGGCTCTTCACCCATTTTCCTCTTTTTTTAAGGGTAAGCCATGTGTTTTCTCCAGTATTGGATTTGCTAACCAAAACAAACGAACCAGTCATTCATCTTGGTCCTTTTTGAATTCGTGCTGGAAACTTCAAAAGGAGCACTAGCGCCAACCAACGGATTAGTTTGCCGAATGCCTAGGATGTGTATGGGTTGCAAATACTCGAATCTCCTGACACACCCTCAACGCTGTGCGCTCTAGCGAAATAGAATGAACTTGATAGATTCTATCACTAATTCCGCGCATCGGAGTTCGTTCTACATGCTTTTATTTATGATTAACGTCCATAGCGGAAGGAATCAAAGAACAGTAGCAAATCACTAAAGTTCTATTATCTTGGTGATTGCTTGCAATTTTCTGCGGTGCTCCACAACTTTCGCGTTGATTAAGGGCATGTCCCAGGAAGTTTATGTAGTTCTTGCACATGAAGGAGGTATTTTTGAAAGATGGGCTTGAAATGGCATCTTCTTGAAGGAGGAATTCACGATAAGAAAGAAGGTCCAAGAAGGGAAAAATTGTATAGGATGAATCGCATGAGGGTGCTGACCGACGCGCAATCGGCAGCGAATAATTTGACCTCGGTTATCTACCATGGCTCACTCTTGGCGCGGTTGGCGGGGAACGCCTACCGATTATCTAATCACTGGCCGCAGGTCTGTCTAGACGTGGGGAGTGATTAGATAGCAGAAAGAGCGCAAGATGGGTTAGCGATGAGAGTCGCATCGGGTATGAAGGGGTTCTCATTCTTTCGGGTTTTCGGCGCTGTCCACATAGTTCTCTCTTAACATCACTCTCACTGACCGAATTCCTTACACCCCTTACTAATTCCCCATAGAGAGCGTGACTTCTCATCGTGTTCCATGCTTTAAATTGGTCCATCATTTCAAGGGCGTTTCAATATCAGCGTTTATTCATGAGGACGTTTTCGTTTCGATTAATACAACGACGTCTGCTAGGCATATTCGCATGCTCTCGTACTCCCCCACCACACCAACGTTTCTGGCCATTCCACCCACGTTTAGCGAACTAGCGGTCGCGCTATTTGATTCTCAGTTTGGAGTAGGAATGCACAGTATCAACATTGAAATATTGTAAATGGTGCAAATCTTGGTGGAAAATTTCGATAGAAAAGTCGAGAACCGATTGCGATTTTCATTACGCACATTTGCGAAGAAATCTGCGCTCGGCAAATACGACTCCCCGTTCGAATCGCCCCTTCGGTTAGGGGTGATAGTATTTGCAATTCGGGGGGGGGGGAGGTCATACATGGGGTTAAAATAGCCAAGAACTCTCCAACTCTCCGAAAATACGAACGAAGGTCGTATTTGTGCAGATTTGGAGGGCTCGTGATTGTGGTAGGGGTCTTATTATTTCTTCGCACTTGAGACGGAACTTCACGAAAATTTGAGTAAGACAAAATCAAAGCGTTCGCTTCACAAGAATGCTGGGTTGTGAACAAAGCTTTCGCATATGGGATTCGAACCCGCACCCTTCATTTTCCGGACAAGTGCGCTAAACAAATACGCTAACGGGGCACCATTTTCATTCGACCTCAGTACCGTACCTAATGACAGGCGTTTTGTGCGTATTCGGCTATATATAAGCCTCCACCTCCAACCCGCTCTCTACCCGTTTTGGACGGAATTGAGTCGCCGTCACTGGTCAAAATCAAAGCACTACAGAACAGCCGTCGGTGATCAAAGGTAGGTGTGGGGGGGGGTTGAGGGTGGTGAGAGAACTGTCGGGAACTTTTTGTCAAACGCCGCTGTGAATCCTATTGATTCTGAAAATCCCTTCTTTGCTGGCTGGCTCTCCTTGGCCACACACAGTAATCAGATATACTGATCGGGGGGGGGGGAACTTAGGGTTTTACCCTCTTTCCTTACGATAGTCTCCCCTGCGTAACATGAGTATTTCACCCCAACGCAGCACCAACATTTGACGAATTTCCTTCACTACTTTTTATCCACTTTCACCCTCCACGTTGTTTCGGAACCTTTTTTTATGATTTTTTGTTTTTGGCACCAGCCACGTGGGTGCGCGCTCCACCCGTTATGCAAATTTAACCCTCTCCATCTTTTCTTTGGATTATACCGCTTGAATGAATCTAAGATAAAGTCAGGGTAAGTCTGAGTTTACCAAGGCACCAGCACTAATTTTTGTGGTCGAGCTTGAGCCACTCTTTGAAATTTTATTAATAAACTTCATGAAGATAAAATGTACAGTTAAAATTTGCAGACGATCCCAGTTATCACTTGGCAGACAGGGCTGGCAACGTTCGTGTGCGTGATAGTCGTATGTGCCTTGTTCATCAATCATCTCGCTACCATACTCTCTCGTTTCGATGGCAATACTTGCCACTTGCACTGGTATGTTCTGAGGACACCATAATTTTAACCCTCTTCTTGAAATTAGGTTATTGGATTGAGGTTTTTGCGTGCTACCTGTCCGCATCTAAGCAATCAACTCATTCACAATTGAAGATTTGGCTAACGTACGGGCTGCGTTTGACCAGGGGGTTTGATCGTGGACCGGCGCGCTGCGAGCGGCAGCCCCTACTGTCATTACACCATCTCCCCTCGAAATCGGCTTCAATTACCATTGCAGGACTCTTTGCTTTTTGGGAGCTGCGCAAGTGTCCACTAATCTGCGGTACGACTTGCTTTATTGACGATAAGGTCGATGAAGAGAGATGTGTACTATCTAGTGGAAGACCGGGTGGAATCCATAAGTGCGCGAGGGTGATGCGCGTTTCGCAGCAAGGAGGATACCAGACAGGAGGCTCGTCGCGCGACAGAGAAGACAGAGTCAGCGAGTCGCAGCGCGTAATTGTAGTAATTCCGCGTCCAAGTAGAATATACCGTTGTACGTCCTACGTCGCACAGTGCGCGCTGCGACTCGTCCGCTGATCTCTGCCTTCTTGTCGCGCGACGAGCTTTCTCTCGAGTACCTCAGCAAGGGTATTTTCCTAGGATGCCTGTCCGTCGGGACCCTACGATCACGGATAGTAAGCCGTTAGCAGGAGCGCAGAGCAGAGCTATGACGTCGACACCCCCACGCTATGACATCAGCACCCGCATTAATGCGGAAATCAACAAGCTAGGAAAGGCTCCCATTTCTCGGGTTCAGAGCCGTTTTCCTTTTTGTTTTGTTCTTCATCCCTGCGTAGCTGACCACCTCTACCTCAATTTCTAAAGTGTTGCCTTTTCTCGTGAAGACCGCTTCAATTAATCCTATTTCCCCCTCCCTATTAGCCATCCAGTGCGCTTTAAAAGTACGTGGACACCTCAGATATCTATTTAATGAAAAGGCTAGAGGGTTTTGTAACTAGTGGCCTCCGCCATTCAATTCTTAGTGTAGGATAGTTTATGGATACTTCATCTGACCAGATTGATCACATCAGATTCATCTAGCCATAAGGACAAAAGGATGAAATAAAGTATTTTTCGTTATTTTTTCTGGGTTGCGCAACGCCCTCCATTCCCGTTAAGAATCGAAGTGGTGCTTTGACCCCGATTCGGCCTATGCACTATCTTGCAACAACCGTTGTCTGAGTCACTGATTTTTATCCTCACAGGTGGAGGGGTGGAAGGCTTTGTTAGTCTGCACGGCGTGATACCGGGTTTGGTACCTCGGTCGTGTGCGTGGTGAACAAGCTACTTAAAGGCAAGTTCCGGGATAAAACTGGTGATAGGAGCGCTTCGTAGTGATACTGAGCTGCGGAACGACCTGAAAGTGGAAGGAAAGCAAGAGAAATCTTTGGGAACGCTGAAATTAAGGCCTTAACCTTCAATAAGGTCGGATGTGGTACGATGGCGAGACAGGGCGATCAAAGAAGACAAAACACGCGAGAGATCACGCCGTTCGAGAGAGCACGCTGATATCGAGGTGGGTGGGAAGCGTTGCAACGGGGTCGATGGTTGCAGGCCCGTAAGGATTAGCGCCCTAACCGCGCAATTTTTGCGACGAAGCTGGAGTGATCTAGGTAGGTACGGACCTTACAATTTCCCTCGCGGTATCCTTCCTACAAGTCGGGCTAATCCCGGGGTTTGCCTTAACCCCACATCACTTCTGCTCTTCCTGATCGTCCTGGAATGTCGACCCTTTAGCCATTACACAATTTCCGCATTTTTGTACAAAGATCCGATTTATTCTTTGCCGAATTTTTCAAGGTAGTTCATAAATCAGAGCTAACCATCGAATTGTCTTTCAGGTGTATTCGGCTACATGTCGTTGTTTGGTACGACACTCGACCCAATAGTGATGTCCATTTTAATCATGTGTGTCGGATTCAGCGTCGATATACCGGCCCATGTGTCGTTCCATTTCCACGCATCGAGTCAGTTCTTTTTTAATTAATTGATTAAGTCATTTATTTATTCATTTAGAACGCTTATAAAGCTGTCATGAGATATGCAACCCAAAACAGCATAAGATCGACATTAATTGTAAACAGTGATACCTGAATTGTCTCTCATTTGGATTGCGCTACGCACCCATATTTTTTCGCGTCGTTGTTGTCATGTTGGGCTCTGTTGACCCTTTGACGACAATGCGGATTTGCATGTAGTGGAGCGCGGAACACGCCTGTTTTCGGCACCCATCTCTTGCCTGCAACCTTGGGCAAAATTATCCCCTAAAAAACAATTCTTCTTCAAAATTTTGACCTTAGCAATAAAGAAAATTTGACTGCAGGTTTAAGTTTTCAAATAAGGATAAGGATAAAGGATAAAGCATTTGCCGTTGATCAATCCCTTTTTGGGATGCGGCACGCATTCTACTTCCATTTGTACATTCGCAGTGGCGTTTGAATGCGATGTGGCCTATACAATGACTTGCGGGGGCCAGCCGATGTTCAAGTCAGTGTTTTTATCCTCCCAGACAAGTCTGGTACCAATTAACCGACCCCGGAGGGATGGAAGGCTTGGTTGGCCCGGGCGACTCACGACCCAGGATTTGATCCCCGGACCGCTCGCGTGGTGAGCTGCCATTTGCCAATTGTCACTACGGTCAAGACCTTTCAAATAGAGAAAGATTGCCGACTTTAGAAGGGGAACTTGGAGTTCAAAGTGGAAGAGGGTAAAGAACTCGAGAAGATTATTTGTACAAAATTTGAAACATACAAACAACAAAACATCGAAATTTTTGGTACAGTTCAACCCTCTCCTTGTATTTGACGACTATGAAAAGACGGAGAACGGTGGCACGCTAACTAAAAATATGTCGCCGAACTATTGTCACACTTCTGCATTTGTGTAAATAAGTGTTTCCACCAAAACACTTCTGGTTAGCAGTGTAGGCATAGATTCGAATCCAGCGTTGCTAATAATTACTTGAATAGTTAGAAAACTTGCGCAAAAAGAAAGGTTAAGGTGGCACCCGGTGGGTGCCATTGTCCCATGCGGTGAACAGAGTGGCACTCACTGGTGGGTGCCATTGTCGCTAAAGGGTTAATGGATATGTAAGATTTTTTGTTGGCTCCCTCATTTCGGAAGTGGAGCTATAATATAAGGAAGAAGATTGTTAGGGAGAGGGGCGTACCTATTTTCGCCGCACCAGCTTTTTTTAGCTTCTTAGTTGAAGACAGCATTTCCTGAGGTTTAAAATGTGTGAAAGGAGAAGACGTGGAAAAGCTTTCCAGCGTGTGAAAGACCAGAGAGGGACTCCAGTATAACGCAACAATAGAGGAATGCAAGGCGCCAGTGCGCACGAAAGGAACGATAGCTATTTTCTGGACGCTAGTTTCTGCAATATGAAATTTATATTGTGCTCCATTTCGATTTTTAAGGATCACAAGTAATTAAACGGTCAAATTGCTCAACTATAAACTCTAATGGTGGAGAGGTCTCTGTGAATGAAGATGGTGAAGAATCGTGCTTCAAATCAAAGTAAGTGCATTTTACGAAGTGCTAGAGGAAGACTTCCCGGCGTAAATGTTGTCGTGAATTCTAAAGGATTGCTGCCCTCCTATGAGGGAAGAATTCCCTGTGTGTTCAAATTGTGGGTATTCTTTATCATAAGAGAGTTATATTGTTCAAGGTCAATCAATATCGGATTATTGAAAGTTTTCTTACTGCAAGAGCGAACTCCGCTCATTTTAAGCGTGGCCTTGTTGAGGTTCCCGAATCCTAGTCAACGCGATTTCGTTCGGCTTTTGGGAGATGCTCCAGCTAGGGTGCCAATTCAGTCTGAGACTCAGTGACACATCGTCATATTGTTGCGCCCCTCGGCTTCATTAATTCGCAAAGTCTGGCATCTGTGCCATACTTGGAGGCGAGGGTACTATTACGATTACTTGATACTTGACTTCGAACTCGTATCGACCAACCAAGGCCTCATGATAACGATGTTTCCAGGGTAATGGTTCACTAGGACAGAAAGCGACTTTTTCGCTTTTCGCAGCGCGAAACATTTTTCGCTGCGGGAACCTCGGGTCCACAAGCTAAGCAATCTACTACCGTCCGGAAGCAAACATCGAACTGGCTCAGCAAATTATTTTGCGAATTTTCAGGTTACAACACACATTGTGTTCTGTGGGATTTCCTGTGATTCAGGCGGGATTATCCACAATTCTATGTGCGCTACCGCTTTGCTTTCGTGCCATTATACATGGCTCAGGTTTGTGAAAACGTTACTTCAAAATAGATATCATTGGTGAATTTTAATATAAAAGCGCATAATTGTGATAATGAAGAGTCTTTGAGTCAGTTTGTTTTAGAGGCTTGCGCCATGACCTGACCAGGTTATGGCACGATATGGCTTGGAGGAAAGCAAGATCAAAATGATTAAGGGAGAGGGATTCCCTCTCAAAAAAGACGGTATTAACCCTGGATGTTAAAGAAGGAGAAATATCACTACTATTCAAGGCAGGCTAGGCTCCCAAGAGACCCGGCAGGAGGCCCGGGCCGTTGGGCCTGGAAGCAGAGACGCAGACGGGTCAGCGGACGAGTTGCAGTGTGTATTGTGCGATGAGGGACGTGCCATAGTACCATCTAGTTAACTTAACGCTAAGTCGCTACAGTATGCACTTGCAACTCCTCCGTCAACCCAGTCTGCGTCTCTGCCTTCTCTCCGCGAGACGGACCTCCTGTCGGGTATCCTGAAGTGGCTTTACACACTAGAGCTTAATGGCCAGCGAGACAGCACGATATGTACAGGGGGGGGGGGCAAAAAAGAGTCACTTTGCCCATGGCGCACATCATCAAATTTTTCGTCGCACAGGATGCCGTTGTTAATGAATGTTTTACGGCAGAATATTCCTTAGGTGTTCCCCAAAGCAGAAGCAGGCCCTCCTTCACTGCCCCCACCGTCTTCAGAATATGACGTCATCTGCCGTCACCGTCGAGCTCAACGAGGCTTACCGCAATCGCTCCGGCCTTGAAGCTGCTACATAATTTCGCCCCCCCCCCATAGTGTCATTCGCGCTGTGAACAACATGTACTCAGGTTCATCAAATGGTAGGGCTCTGAGCACTTCATATTGCGATGGAAACTGCGGGGGAGGAAAATCAACTACTTGGCAAGCAGCTCTACCCTTCCACTTCCTAGCGACTTCAACATCTAGATTTAGTCATCGGATTGCGTCACCTGTATCACCTGTCGTCCCGTTGATCGTCGATTTGCTCGAGCGGGCGCCAGCAACGTCTCCATTCGTCCCTGTCGCGTGCTAGAGTGGTCCAGTGGATCCTCCTTGCTCGAGGGACACGAAGTCCATTCATTCCTTTCGTTCAGAGCTTTCGTGAAGAAGTCTGACCATCGGGCCGGCGGTCGTCCAGGTGTTCGTTTGACGTCCCGAGGGATCCAGTCGGTAACCGCTCTGGTCCAACGGTCATCGCAAAATCGCATGACGTGTCCGGCCCACCTTATCTTCGATTCCTTGGCGAAAACGGCAGCGTCCCTGATCTTCGATCGTTGGCGTAGTTCGGCACTCCGGATTCCCCTCTGCACTTGCGTGTATAGGGTTACTCCTAGCATCGTCCTCTCGACAGCGCGTTGGATAACGCTGACCGCATGCTCGTCCTGCCTGCGCAGAGTCCAAGTCTCTGAGGCGTAGGTTAGGGCAGGAAGGACAGCGGAATCGAAGAGGTGGGCACGGAGCCGGATGTTCTTCGTCTTCTTCACTACTCCCTCGATGTTCTTGAATGCTCCCCATGCCGCTCGTTTCCTCCTGCTCAGCTCTGGAGCTAGGTCGTTCATCATATTGATTTCCCGACCTAGGTACACGTAGCTGGAGCATTTGGTGAGTCGTGGAATGTACTTTTGCTAAATAGGTAAAATATTTTAAATGGTACATCTAGATAAGTGCTCACTCAGAATTGTAAATCGAGATTTATTTGAATATTTTCAGGGATTTTCTACGGCAATGTTGCTGTGCATATCATTTTCTATGATTCATGGCGTCGTCATTCTACCCGCTATGTTCTGCCTCTATGATCGAGCCTCCATCGCCATACGAAAGTGGATCTCAACCAGTCGAAGAAAGAAGCGTTGTGTACCAGCGTAGACGTTGACAAAACATTCCACCCTCATGCTTGTACGGGTCTTTTTTTAATGTGATAAGTATGATTCATCCTTTTTTCCTTTTTTCACTTTCCACCAAGTCCTTCACGATGACGTTCCCCTAAGAACTGTTGTTTTTCTCATTATAAACAGTTATTATTAAGGAGACTGCTAGACGTCTGACCTAAAGCACGGTCCGGATTTAGGCACGCTCACCTGTCCCCTCCCCGAGCGTACTGGGCGGACGGACAAACTTTAATGCCCCTTTTGCGGCTTAAAAGTGCGACAAAGGCGCAAAAGCTCGTCCGACCCGCAACTCACACCTTCGTCCGCAAGCCCCACCCTCCGCTGTCGGTTGCCACGTGGCGCTGCTTGAAAAGCGCGGGCGCATTTGAGGCAGCGGTCCCATTGCGATCCAATGTCATTGGCACTGGAGCAACTGGAGCTAGGTTCGTGAAACTCGTCCAACACGCTCCTTCCAAGGTGGAATGCGGCTGAAATAGAAGAGAAGGTCTCATTCGGGGCGTAATCGGAGGTTTCTCCTGCTTTCTTTTTCTTTTCTAGACCACTTCCCTTATCCAGCTCTCTTACTGGACCCTTTCCCACAGTCATTTTATCCCAAGGCTTGCCTTTAACCGATTTTTCTTGCATTTAAATTCGATTTGGAATCCAGTGTTATAAGTAGTAGGATATTTTTAGGGTGCTATAGGAGTGTTGTGTTGTAATTCAGTGATCACTGATCACGAGTGAATTTGTGGAAATCTTAAATTTTGTTTCAATTACAAGCATTGATATGTTTTGATTGTTGTGTTAATCCTGATAGTTCGAAGATACTGAGCAGTAAATATTTACAGTTATTGAAACTGCGAAATTTGTGAAGATTCGTAAGATTTTCCTGACATTCTTGGCCAATATCATATGTTCGTCTAATTGGGTCAGAGGGGATCGTATTTGTGATATTTTGGAATGGGTGGTCGTGTGTGGGAGCTGAAGGGGTCGTGATTGCGAGGGTGGGAAGCGTGAAACAGACAAGTAGACAAAATTGGAACATTTGTCGTTCTGGAGACCATTCTGGATACAGTGCGTTTCAAAAGTATAAAGCCACCCTTGAATGAAGCTGTTCCAAGTTAGAATGAAGGTTCCGTGATTTGATGAATACACTGGTGTGCAAAACTTAAGGACCGAAGTAAC